CCTTGTTTTGAAATTAGAGTCGCTTAACCAGTCTATCGACCATTCTAAGGCTGATTGACAGGTCGGGATAATCAAGACTACTTTTTTACGAAACATAACAGAAAGTTAGAACAAGAAATTGAATTAAGAAATGAACACGTTAGCTAGCTCAACAATTGTTTTAAGAAGCTTGTAAAAGTAAAATGAAACTACTGCTAGTATCATGTTCCTGCCTAAACCGAGTGTTTCAGAGATAGTATTTGTACTAAACCAAAAGATGCCGCTCTTAACGGTACAGTTAATGATAAAGCGATTTAAAAAATGAAACGAACGTAATTTCTAAATCTGCTGTAATAACCAAGAAGCTTAATTTTACTGCTATTCAAAATCGTCAACAATAAATTTTTTACGGCTGTAATAGTTGATAGATTTGTAGAGAATTGCACGTGCCATGGCTATTTATAGTATCATACTGTCAGAAAGTTGGCCTCGACACGCCGAATGTGCACGCTTCAGTGGTAGTCTCGAACTATCAGCGGTTGGCTGTATTTCTGTAGGTGCATGGGCCACCCTAACTTAGTGTCTCTTCACGCGCTTACGGACCATTCTAGTTTTTCACCAATGTTTAAAACATTCCTTTGAGAACCCGGTCGTGTGTCGTATTCAATGAGTTTTGAACATCAACAGCGTCGATCAAAAACTTCTCATTTTAAATGGAGAAAAAGCGGAAAACAGTTGATCATGTGAGGAAATGGAATATACAATGAATAAAACACACTAAATTCATCATCACCATTAGTAGGTATTCGGAAAGTATAATTTTTCACTGAATATGGAATTCAATAGTCAAGTTTTATCTGGAAAAAGTATTGTTTATTCTGACAACAGTGAGTATGGTCAACATAACTAACTTCAGGGAAAGAACACATGTATTTATAAATATTTGTTATTTACTTATTACATATTATAAGTTGTAATATATACAATCTTATTGATCTTCTTTACCAATGAATAACAAAAACATTATCAATCAATGATTTTGTGTCTCTTTCACGTTTGTTTAAATGAAATGGTTTGCCGGTAAAAACCACAACCGGATTTTACAACATCGTAAAAACGAGGTCAATACCGGAAAAGTCCATAGTAAGTTTTTCCACGCTGTCGTTGAAAATCAATTTGATTAAAAATAAGCTTGCAAACGCATTGTATTATTTACACCACCGCATTTTGTTTTTCTTTAAAAGCTGGCACAAAGTGCGTGAAAATTCTAAATTTAGACCAAGGTAACCCTCATGACCCAGTGAACAAATCAATTCTTTGGTTCTTTTTATCAAATACCCAAGGATTGAACACACATTTCGTCAAGAACTCGAAACTCTTGGTATAGTGTTCACGGAATAAAAGAACTGTTGCAAGGTGTATAATCTCCTGGGAATGCGAGTGATAATAAAGTCAATGAATTTATTTTCTTTAACACTAACCCGGATGTTTATTGTATTGGCAATGTGGTTCGTGTGAGTCCAGGTGTCATTCCAAGAATAACATTTATCTGTCTTTATGCCAGTGAAATATTAGAAAATGTCAACTTTTAAAAAAATGTTTAAACTTTGAAGTATTTCTATTCAAGGGAAGTAATCCCGTCCAATTTTAAGACAGAAGTCCTCAAACTAAAGCTTTTAAATTACAATAAGGTTTTAAACAATGAGCCATTACACCTAATAAAATTTCAAAATTTTAACACAAAATAGGCAGAATTATTTAAATCCAGAGGATTTGTTGATGACTCTAGAAACAACCTTGAAACATTGGTTGAGTCGTTTAGCCTCATTAATTTGCATTTCTGTTTTTCGGAAACAATTATTAAAATTCTGTCTCCAATTTCTTCAGGAAAAAAATAAATTTAAAAACAAAAAGTATTTAATCTTTAGAGGCATTTAGTAACTGAATAGGGCAATTAATACTATAACACATACAACTAATTTATTGGGCGACGACGTTGAGAGAATGCTTTTGGAGACGTCGCCAAATAAATTAGTAGCTATTTTTCCATAAGTATGTGTTAGTTTGAAAAGTATTTAGTTGCTCTTGTCAAATACGTTTAATTCCAAATATTAAAATTTTAACAACCATCGCACACTGGATTTGAATGGGTTATTTATTGATCAAGACCCCTAAAAATTAAATTGGTTTGTACGAAAGCCCAGAAGGCTCATTCCAAATTCCAAATTCCAAATGCGAAATTCCAAATTCATGTCTTACCGATAAAATAGCAAATTGGCAGTCCCCCCCCCCCTCAATTAAAGGCCCAATACCACTCCTGTTGTAACTGAATAATATGTCCCAAATTGTACTATTTTACAATATTCCAATTAATTGATGATACAAATTTCATCTTAACACACCTAATTTAAAAAATTGGAAAAATTCAACTAAATGATTTGAAAAGCCTAACGTAAACCTTTTCAAATGTGACTTGGATTTAAAAATATTTTCGAACCCTCTGGACAAGTAAAATAGGATGTAATGGATAATTTACACAACAGGTAGGACACATAAACATCTAATACTTAGAATAAGGCTATTATTTATTTTCTGGAACTGTCAAGCCAGCAAGAGTGTTATCGTCCCTTTAAACAAATTAGAATTTATATAAATTGTAATTTTACACAACTAATTACTTCTAGTTTACCTATCTGGGCCAGATAAATACCCGTTCCAAATTACTAGATTCCAAATTCCAGATTCCAAATTCCAGATTCCAAATTCCAAATTCCAAATGCGAAATTCCAAATTCCAATGAGCCTTCTGGGCTTTCGTAGGTTTGGCCTATCCATGGGTCGACTTTGCCTTTATCCGTTTCAATAAAACCCCAAATTATGGCTCAGTGACTATAGGTTTCCGGTGATCTTAAGGCGACACCATTACGGAGATCGTCGTATATTAGATTCAAAATTCTAAATTTGTTAACGTCATGCTATAACAGAGAGCTGACAGGCTTGTCAGTAGCTCCCAGGTTCTTTCTTCTCAGTTTGTGACTTGTGATCGTCTACGGTATTCTGACTTCACGTTGTTTTTAAGACTAACAAAATAATATATCCTTCTATACACTTCAAAAAAAGTAGGGGAAATTGAAATGCAAATACCTCTGCAGGTTGTGATATGATAAATAGTCATGGACACTTGACATGCTTTGAGAATATGTTCACAGATGAAGAACTTATCGCCACAACAGAACCACTGAGCTGCATGTGCGACACGCAATAGCGCCATACACGTGGGAGGGGTCCATTGTCAAATTTGACACCTCAAGAAAGGGTTGATGAAAACTGCCGCTTGCTGGTTTATCCTATCCATGTTTGCTTTCCTATCGGTTCCTGCATAAGATTTACTGTTTAGCGTATCTTTGCTTTAGTGTGTTACGTTAATTCGATCGGGAGGCGTGTTCGTCGACGTCAATGTCAACCGACAACACTGCAAGTATTGGCCGTGGCACTGCAAGAGGAGTCGGTCAGTTTGCCCCAAATTGTGATTGGACGGTTGGTTAGGAGCATGCCACGACGAATTACTGAATGTCTGAGGATTGGTGGAGAAATTACTCATTATGAAGACAAAAATCAAAAACGTCCATTTTCACTTTTGACAGTGTATCTCTTTGCGAGTGAAATGAGGGCGTCAGATAAGCCGCCCATATGAACTGTTTATGTTCGTGCGTAGGCAATTGGCCCGTTATTAACATACACAGGTTACCTCTAATAAAAACAGCAGTGCATTTCCGCAGTTTTGTATTGTTTCTAAATATCCCCTACTTTTTTTTGAAGAGTATATATATGACTTTATGGAGCCACGGTGGTTAAGTGGGTAAGACGTTGGCTCACAAGTCTGGAGGTCGCGTGTTGGATCCCTGCATTGGCCGAGAAAGTTCATCGGGATTTCCCGAGGTGGTTTCTCCTTGTCAGTGGTGCAGGACGGAGGGCCTGATATGGACAGCTGTCTCTTTATTCGGATGAGACGAAAAACCGAGGTCATGTGTAACATTGGCCATAGTGGCAAGTCACGCTGTATGACGTATGCCCGTCTTCATTAGCCCAGTATTAGCAAAACAGTGGGACGTTAAACCCCATTTCATTTCAATTATATGGCTTTATTGGATATTACGTTGAAATAGTCAAAGTGGCTCCCAGATACACCGTTTACTTATAGAAACGGATACTACGTCTAACACGTACGAAGACAGACCGTATCAGATTCACCGAATGAAGGAGAGATCCTTGCTTATCAGCTTCCCCGAATGAAGGAGAGATCCATTACTTATACTGAATGAAACAACATAAAATTGCACAATTGCGGAACTCACGACAATACAATAAACAAAACCCTTGTTATGAGTGTTTACTGGTCAGTCGATCTCCTGTTCGTCAAACTGAACAAGATAATTTACTAAAAGAAATGACCTGTACATTCAGCTGAACAAGATAATCCACTCAAAACAAGATAGTAAAAAACATCTTAGGTATGTACTCTACTTGGAACCACAAGTAGATAAATAAAATATGTCTAAATATATATACAATTAATCCAATTAAATAGAATAAATCTATAAAATTACTATACATATATAGCTACAATGCTATCGTCTAATTTCTAACTTTATTCGTGTAATTTGTAAATTAAGACAATGTAATGTATAATCTAATATTTTTATTTGTTCAGCGTAAATTTTAATTCGATTTCACTGGGCTAATGATGAAGACGTACTAAAATTTAGCCAGGACACGACCAACTGCCAAGTGTTTTCGTCCTATCCGAATTTATAGAATTTTAAATCTAATATACCACCAGGCCTGTAACTGCCCCCCCCCCTCCCTCATGTGGAAAAATTGTCGACCATAAAAACAATAGATATACATTGTCCGTCAATTTTACAGCACCCCCTGGGGTAAGGTTGGTCATGGTTGATCTAACCGCGAGCTATTGTAAGGTTTCCGTATGGGTGAAGTTGCGTGATTGATCCCAGGTGTGTTGTCTGTGTTACTTCGAGGTTTTTCTGCGATTCCTAGTTTAGTTATGCCACCCACCCATCCTCGCTGCTAAAGATCCACGCCTCACACACAAAAAAAGATTTAAATAGAGACAGCTATGTTAATCTCGAAATGACATATTATTTTATTTCTATTGGACAAAATCAATGTCAGTATTTATTGAGCATAACATATTCCCCCCACCCCCACCCCAAGCTTTGGCTCGTCAAAAGATTTTGTTCACCAGACTAGTAAATGATTCTCTCAATCAAATCAAAATATATATTTGGGCAGGCCCATTTAGGCCTAATTCCATTTAGGGGCTGGGCTCCACTTTCGGAAACTTTATTATAAACGTAGTTTAATGTGTGAATACGCTTCGAAATATTACAGAATCGATCATTATGCGCAGTAACCAGGGTGCGGTCGAAAATGCGATCTTCGTTCGTTTGACAAATTGGTGTAGCCTAGATCACCATGACGCCTATTAGAATGGTGTCTGCACGTGGTGTCTGTGTCTAATCGTAATAGGTGTTACTAAAAATAGAAATTCGGTCTTTCCAACAAATATCCTTGTTATTCCCTATTCTTCCGTTTATAAAGATTGCGACAGCTCCTGATTCACAATCTTTTACCAAGTCAAACAGCATCTACAAGCGGCAACACCGAGGTAAGCATTGTTAGTTTCTTCATAAAATAAATATGCATTCAGAGCACCGTAGATTTTACTCTGTGAAGTGCTGAACAGTTTGCAACTTTCGATTTTATTTTCGTGAATTTCATATCAGGATGGCCAGGGCAGTGTCATGTATTGTATTAAATTATATTACATCAACGTCTTCTAATGGAGATTTAAGTCATTTCAAATGACAGCAAATTGCTGAATTAAGGCTATGCAAATCAACGATTATATTTTGTCCTCGATAACGTGGTTTTCATCAGTCAATCTGTAGGGTAGGCCTAATCATATATGAATACGTAAACCAGCTGTAGGGGCCGGCAAGCTTAATATTCTCTCCTACTTTGATGGGAACGGATCTTATCAATGTAAAATACCGATACCTTAGCAAAGTCCTTATTTAAGTATAGCAGTAACAGCTAGTATTTAATTGCTTTAGACAATGACATTATTAGTAATAACAATTTAAGTAGGCCTATCTTATTATACGGTAATACTAATAGGACTGGGAATTTAATACACATGTGTAATGATCTCATTGCAAAAGGGCAAAGTCATAGTCCTAGAAAAGCCCACAAAAGGTAGCTCAGACAAAAATTGTAGGACCTATTCCATAAAATTGTTCCCCATAATAGTTTTATGGAATTTCCCAAAAAGAAGAAAGAAAATGGATTCACAGTTTATTGTTAGCATTATAGACCGACCTTGTAATAAATACCGTATATAATAGATTTTTTCTGTAATTTCCTCATTTTGTATGTGGCATGTTCTATTTCAAGGAATTATATAAGGCAACATAATGCACTGCGGTGAGGTCATTTATACAAGCAGTTATAACAGGCAATAAGTTAATTATTTATGAAATATATTACACATATACTGATACAATCGACAATTTCCATATTTTTATTCCAATGTGCTATTTTGAGGAATAGATATATAAGGCAATTGAATACGCTGTGGTGAGATCATTTATATAAGCAACCCAAATATATAAGCAAGAAGTTATATATCTTTATTCTATGAAATGTATCCTGTATAGTGGTAGGCCTACTTTTATGCATGTTAAAATTATTCATTAAAATCAGGAGGTACATAATTGTTTAAATAGAAATCTGTTTGTACATGTATAACTTTTTCAAGTCACTGTTCACTGCATGGTTATATACTGACTATTTCTTTCAGAATCCAACTACAGTTTGAATAATATTAGTTTAAAGTCTGGTGGTCTTTTGGGGGATTTCAAATCCCTTGCACATGCACAGTTTTTTGAAAGATGAATTTCTATAAGGACTATCAGTCCAAAATGGTTCAATTCTTTTGTTGGGCCTCTTTTTAATCTAACTGAATTCAAGCAAAGAGATTATTTACCATTGATATTTTCTTAATTAAGTGAACTTATGTAATCAATTTGGTTATATTTTGGTCGGGAATAAAGCCATGAATAATTTGATATTGTCCCAAAAATATAAATGATGATTGTTGACATTGAATTTGATTTGAATGGAATAAAATGGTTATATATATATATATATATATATATATATATATATATATATATATATATATAATTTAGTACATAATATTGCTGTTTTTATTTGTTTTCTGACATAAGTTATTGATCTTTTATTTTTAGTATTAATAGTGCTATATTTTGAGAAACCATGAGCAAGGAAAATATATCCGGAAATAATGAAGTTTCTGACTTTCTGAACATGCCTTATGTGAAGGTTGCTACCCATGAACTCGCACTCCTGGTACGAGAAATACAGAAATCACAGATGGAAAAAAAGCAAATGTCTGAATATATCAAACATTATTTTACATCAAGCAACCATCCAGAAAAATTACCCCAAGTTGTTGACTCTCAGGACAAAAATAAATGTTCACAAAATATGGGAAATTTAGTTGGTCGAGGGGTGAGAGGCTGTGAAAGTTCAGACAACGAACTGGAAGTGGACTGCGCCCCAGAATTTCCATTACCTATAAATAGAGAATATAAATCTGCTCCTGAATTAACTGGAAGCAAGTTCATATATGATGAAAGGAGCGTTGCAATGGCATCATGTGAGAATGAAACATATCCTATTATATTATCATCACCCACATCTACATTATTACCAAAGTTACCTTCATCAGATAGTATCTTGCAGCCTAGATTAAACAATGTGGATATTGGGGTTTCTAAAAACTATTTTGATTCTGCCTTAGAAGAGTTAGCAAAGACTAAAGAACTGAATTCACATCTTATAAGGATAACAGAGCAAGATCCTAGTTATATTATGGTGAGTTGAGATTAAAAGTAGGCTCTAAAAGAGGAACATAATTAAATTTGCCTTATTGTAAGTTATTTGAGATCACAGTATTTTGGGTTAAAACAACATTTTACTGTACTTCCATGTTATGATTCAGCGGCTAAATCCACTGAGTCACAGCGACTCCAAACTTTAAAAGCATCTCTGGGATATAGATGTATTTTTATTATAGGCCCTATTTCATGGGTTAAATCTAGTAATTTTGGTTATTCAATAAATTGGTACCTTATTTTTTCCCAGAATTTGGTAAAGCTTCAAAGTCTGTATGATGAAACTGTGAGTGAGAATAGGAGAATGAGGATCATTATTGAGCAGCAACAACTATATAATGAAAACCCAGACCAACTGGTCTCTGATTTGTCCAAAAAGGTTGGTAGGAACTTTCTTAATTCTGAGAATGATATGCTTGGCTACATTGTATATAATTTACATGCAGGCCAGCAGATAATGATTTTAGTATATCTTACAAAATATCAGGCACAACTGAACTAGTTCTTGACAATTTGAAATTTGTGCTGGATATGTATTAATTTAATAATATCAACAAAACACATAAAACATACAAATCTGTACCAGACAAAATGACAGACACCAGAGGGAATTGCACCTGGCAATGCCTGAATTTGTGCCTGATAATGTCTGTGACAGGTGCCCTATTTCCAGGCTTGATTACATAATAAAATATAAATCGAGGTGAAGTGAAACTAGAATATAAATGGAGTACCAGGTAAAAAATGATGGAAATTACACCAGGTGATTTAAAAGGTGTAAAAATTACATTCTGAGAATATCTATAACAAAACTGAAAGTGAAAGTAAAGATGATCAAAGAAATATTTCCAGCAGGTAAATTCTTCCTGTATGGTAAACGTATGTTTCACAACTGCTCATAAACAAAGAGAAATCGATTAAATCTGAAGTACTATTTTATATTAAAGGCATATAGCATTAACTCAATATTATCTATAGGTCTAATATTAAAAATTAAAAAAATAAATTAGAATTCAATATTAGTTCTGTTCTATATATTGATTTGTTATCTTACTGTGAAAGTATGGGCTCTTGATATCCAATATTTAAGACACAATAAACATATTAAAATCAGTTCCGGACGTCAAGTTGTCTATGGTCTTGAGTGCCAGAATAAAAAAAGATGAATATGTAGAATGGACTGCTCACATATTTCCCTGAATATAATTGATTAGAAATTAAAATAATAAATTTAAGAATTGAATGTAAATACCTCTATATTAAATCAATATGTGCTCTTCATCTATTTTATGGTTCCAAAGAATAGAGCTATATGCCCTTTAATTCATTTTTTTGTTTTAATTGTCAGATAAAATAAATCATGTTTATTATTTCATTTTTTGTTATTGATGTATAGGATTGAATTTGTTCCAGTTAAAAATACATTTGCTTTTGGAGCGATTGTTACCATTAAACTTCCACATTTAAATGGTTGCATGGCAACCTATCATCTAAAATGTTCAAGGAAGATAGAAATATATATATTAAATTTAAATTCATTACCATTTAAGATATCGTTTACATAACCAGGTTGTGTGTAATTGCAGTCATCTGGGTAGTATATTTCTGGCTCAAGGAAATCCCCAGTTTATTCAACAATTTATTTTCATACATGAATTTGGGAACACCTGTAAAAATATTCCTTCTTATTTTATCGGGAAATAGACTTATTTAAAACAAGAAGTAGTTGGTTGTGCTGTTAAAATGCGTTTAGTTCAAATTTTTGAAAGATTAAGCAAAACATTTTTCATGTGATTCAAGAGGCCATTTATTTATCAAATTAGTGTGGCCTAATTGAAGATATACAATAAATTATTGCATCTAAAAAGACAATATGTCACATATTCACATATTTCAAAATGCTATAACTGAGATTTGGAAGTGGGCACTAAAATATATAAATATCATGTTATGTATAGTAATACCCATATTTAAAAATGTTATTACTAAAAATACTGCAAGTTTTACACACAGTTGAAATTAAAGATACATTCCCGCATACAAACTGGGTGATTTGGTGATATATTTGGCCTAAAAACATATTCAAACTAATTAATTTATCATAAATTTGCTTCAAATCATTCTCAAAACATTGTAATTGTATTGCCATACTTTTATTGGAAATAACCACCCAATAAATACTTTTCTGGGAACCTATCTTTAATGATTAGAATAATATATTTAAATGTAGTATGGATTTATTAATTCTTAGTCCCCAATATATACAAATTATTCATTAAAACTGACGAAAGAAAGTTTACTTTTTACTTAAATAGGTATTCTGCAAGAGCTAAATTTACTAATTGTCAGATGTTTTTCTGTCTTCAAATGTTATATAAATTATTATTTAGACATTTATTCAAATGAAAAACCCATAATCAACTCTCTTGACCATTGGACGGCTTAGATATTGAATTGATTAGATACTACCTCCAGTGACTTGATTATAGGTCTGATAATGAAGCTTCATTTATTATCATGGAGTTGGTTCATTGACAATCAATAACATGCATCATTTTTCTTTAAAGTAACGATACGTTATTTGCTTTTATGGCTAAATTTTGGCATAGTCTCGGTCATCATTACTAAAATCATTAATATAAACAGCTTAGTCTCGATTATCCACTTTTTTTTGATTTAATTATCAACGGCCGTTAGCGGCATATAGGAATGTAATCCAGCCAACATCGAAGGCTAGCCTTGACATTGAGAGTTTATTATGGTCTGGATAAGTTAATTAATGTCTAATTGATAATTTAGATAACATTTCAGGCCTAAAGAAAGACTTGTAATAAGAAGATTTTGCTCTTGCATAATGCATGTGTAAGAAAACAAAATCAAAATGCAAATGCTAGATAATCTCCCAGCAAGGATTCCTTCGGATCTAAAACAGGCCTATCATTTCTGTTCACCCACAACAAAATGGCAGTGGGCTTATTACATAGCGAACAGTATAGATCAATAAAGTTTCAGGTCAACATATTGTAAATACTGAATGGAATTGAACCATTTCTGAACTGATAAGAGATTCAACTTTTACAATAGTGTTCAAAGGAATTCCATGAGACTTTAAGTACCGTACTTATATTATTAAATATATGTGTATATTGTGATGACCTTGGTTGTAATATGTACTAATATATCTATTATTCAGGTTTCCCAACAAGAAAGACAACTGAGTTTACGTAATTTAGTTTGTGAACATCTTAATAAACAGTGTGATATGTGGAAAGGAAAATATAAAGAAAGTGTAGAAAAAAGCAACATATTGTCCAAAAAATTAGCTTCACTGACAGATCCTGTAAGTCAGTTTTCATATTATCTTGCTTTATGCTTGCTTTAGGCTGCACAGGATCATCATTGTCTATAGAAATGATATGAAATGCAAAAAGTGTAAGAAACATTTTCTTGGCACTTTTAACTTCTAATATGAGAAGTGTTTTTTTGAGCTCTAGAAGGATTAGGCAAAATGTTAGCACTTGGTTGGATAGATAATCCAGTAGCACTGCCAGAAGGGTTCATTAGGGGCCCTCCATCTAACCGATTTCAAAAATTCAAAACACTATGTTTGTACTTCAAATTCAAAGTTAACCATATCCAAGCCCCATGAGCTGATTTCCCCCCTTTCTGGTGAATGCTAAGATGTAATTATGTTGATTGTGTTCCTTATTCAATAATAATCATGGCTTTAGGATACATTGAATTATGCTTATATGTTGCCAACATAAAATCGAACCATAAGAGTTGGATGATATTTCTCGTAAGATTTGAAAATACTAAGATAGGTTTGGTGTAAATGCTACTTGTATTAGTTCCGAAATGACCTAGATGGTATTAAGTTGACGTTAAACCCATGTCCCTCTCTTTCCATATCCAGGACAAAATCAATGTGTAATGTATATTATCATTGGAAATTTTCTGTAATTAGAGTATAAATTATAGTCATGAAATCGAACCTTAAGAGTTAGGTGATGTTATTCATATAAACTGTAAAAATACTAAGATATGTTGTAAATACTTTTTGTTGTTTTTTTTCTTTCGGCATATAGGGCTAGGTGACCGAATGGTTTAATGCATGCACTTTAGATCATTAGGTCTGTCATTGAGTCAAGTGGCATGGTTTAGATTGTAACAAGTTGTAGGGTTGCCTGTCCAACCTCACAGGTTTTCTATGGATCCTCCGGTTTCACCTCATTGTTAAAGACCCCTAAATGAAACTGATCATGTTATTCCCAAAATGACCAAGTTTTTGTTGAGTGGCCGTTAAACCCCAATTCTCTACCTCTATTTCAGAGTAAAAGTTATTGTAATACAGGAGTGCAAACACAAGAAGAAAGCACCCCAAAGTTTGATGCCTTGTTAGATAATGACAACAACAACCGAACAGATGATGAAATATACAAGAGAGAAAGTTATACACATGATGTATCATTAATTAACAGTGAGGACCTTGATACGGATGAAGAAACATCTGTCCAAATAATCCATAATCTTAACACAGAGAACGACCTTCTTAAAGAACAATATAAGGTGGGCATAGTATTGATTAATTTGCTTGATGTTAATCTAGGGATCTGTGGTGTCTCAGTGAGTAAGGCGCTGGCTCACTAACAAGGAGTTCTTGGGGATGTAGTATGGAGGCCTGGCAGAGACAGCCCCTAGTCGTTTGGATGGGATGTAAAAAACACAGTCCCATGTATACGTTCGCATGCATGTAAAAGAATCCTTGACAGTTGGAATTCTATATAAGAGTAGACCAAATTTTCCTCCTAGCACACTGTATGGCCTGGCCTACTTCGTCTTCATTAGCACAGTGCAGAAAAGTAGGACGTTAAACCCCATTTCATTTTGATGTTAATCAATCAGATTTTTCCTTATAGCCAATTATTGAATAACTAAAAAATTGGATTAAAATGAAATTAAATTCTATTTATGAGACGCTTCCTAATAAATAAGTTAATGAATAAGTTGGGATTAATTACTTTTTCTATTTCTGTATTTTAATATGTGTATGGGAGATAAGATAAAGAGATGGCAGTTCTCGCTGTAATAGTTAAAAACTAGATAGTGTAAAGGTAATTTGCTGAAAATTTCAGTCAAATTGATCCACTATGAGCCGAGAAAGAAGCGGGTGAAATTTTTGCATAGTCTCGGTCATCATTACTAAAATCATTAATATAAACAGCATAGTTTCGATTATCCACTTTTTCTGATTTAATTATCAACGGCCTTTAGCGGCATATAGGAATCTAATCCAGCCAACATCGAAGGCTAGCCTTGACATCGAGAGTTTATTATGGTCTGGATAAGTTAATTAATGTCTAATTGATAATTTAGATAACATTTCAGGCCTAAAGAAAGACTTGTAATAAGCAGATTTTGCTCTTGCATAATGCATGTTTAACTTTTTCAGATGTCAGTAATTTCTTCTTGTTATATCAATATAATATAAAACAATGACTTCATGCCCTAGGATAGTTATAGAAACAGGACATGATATAAAACAAAATTAACGTCAATGAATATTGAAGGAAGTGAATTAAACACTTGTATACATGATTTAAATCTTTCAGTTTATACACAAAGATTTTAATATGGTGGTATAGTCCCATCGGGATGAAATTCATATTTGGGTTGGAGAGAGGCGGGGGGAACTGTCAATGCAGCGAAACCAGAATGGGGTCTTGAGGGCTTGCCCCCAGGACAATTTATAAACTAAAAACACATACTTGCTGATCATTTGGGTGCCCGACCGCTAAAGCCCGGGCCTCCCCACTGCTCACCCACCTCCACCCCCCCCTCTTTCCAATGGCCTTATATTGACATCACCCCAGCAATGCTGATGGTATCTTTTTGATGCTTTAATAGCGTTTTCAGCTTATTGAATTTGTTTAATTACCAACAATTATTCCCAAGAAACAAAATATTATGGAAATCATCATTAATTCTCCTCAACAGAAAATATTTTTGCTTTGAATTTATCAAAATGTTTATTGATGGGTTGTATGACTTTTCTGTTGGTAGGAGTATTCATTGCTTCTAGTGTCTGTTTTATTGTTACATTATAACATATAAAAATGAAATCTTTTGTATAGGTTTTACAAGAAGAATATCAGAAATTAAACTCTGAACATGCCAGGGAAAAAGATGTCCAAAGTGAAAGAATGACACATTTGAATCGCCAGGTTGGTATGATGACTTTTCTATATCAGATGTGGATCAGGCAATTCAGGCCTGTGTTTTACCTTTAATAAATTACTTAAGAGTATCTTTAATTTGCCCTAATGGAGAGAGAGAGAGAGAGAGAGAGAGAGAGAGAGAGAGAGAAATGCGGTTGAATGTCACTTGACACAAGCTAGGTCATTTTTATTTGAATAATCCACTTGTGCATGGGAGGAAAAGAATTTGAAGGTTTTTGTGGTTTAAAATATAAATCTGCTTGTCCTATATTCTAAATGAACTAACAATAGCGTTATGATTCTATTTGTGGCCTCATAGATCCTCATATATTAAATTATTTTAGAGCTGCAGTGGTTCAGTGTGGTTCGCTAACTAGGAGGGCATTGGTTTGCTTCCAAACAGCATCAAGTCGTTTGGATGGTACAAAGACCAAGGTGTACAAAAAAAAAAAGATCCTGTGTTGTGTACACATTGGCGTGCACGTTAAAGAACCCATGAAAGTTTGGAATTTGAAATAAGAGTAGGCCAAAATTCCCTCATAGCACACTGCATTATTCAATAATTAGCCCAGAAGGTGCAGCAAATTCCATTTCATTTCATTTCTCTCATAAAATGTATATTTATTTGGATTGAACAAAAACTTAAAACAGGGTTTTTCTTTTTTCAGCTGTTTTCATTAACTATAGAGAAAAATACATTACAGAATACTTTAAGAGACGCTTCATTTAAAAGAACTAAAAGACAAACAGAAGAAGACAAGAAAGTAACCTCCTCAATGCCTTCCACTTTAAATACAGAGGATAATGTTCTTCTAAAAACCATTAAGTTGATCTCCTCCGATAAAAATATTAACAGAAGTATGGCTTTCTCAGAGTTAAATTTTAATTGTGAAGAATCATTTTTTAAGGCAGATCATGTAGATAGGATTAAATCCCAACCCAGCTCTTGTCCAATTATTTCTATGTTCCAACGCACACAACCGTCAAACAAAAACAAGCATGAAACAAATATATATTATTAGCCTTATGTGTATTATTCGAAATTTTAAAGTGATAAAACACATGAGCCATTATCAAATTTTACTCTCAGACAGACATTAAAATAGTGACCTAAAGTAGTTAAAGTTCTTTGATTTAATACCCACATTAATATCAGTACCTACCTTTGTTATATATTTAATAATATCTATCCCATTTTGTAAAGAAAATCTATAAATTATTTTTATTTTATCAAAAAAACACCTGTCATCAGAAAAATATCAGGGGGATGTAATACAGTGGGCGCTAAAACTTTACTTTTAGCAGTAATAGGTATTAGATACTAGATGATTGTGACTAAACTGGCGAAAAAATCGAGAAATGTGAGAAATAAAAGAAGCAAATTTATGATTAGCCTTTGTGCGATTCAAGTTAGCTACTTTGTAGCAAATTGATTATTTGATATAAGAGTAGGCCATAGTGTCGTTGCCCAGGCAAAATTTCCCTCATAGCGCACAGTATGGCTCATTTTCATTAGCCCAGTAGGAGCAGAACAGTAGGATGTTAAATCCCATTTTATTTCATTTCATATTTTAAATAATTTTAAACTTACTTGAATATTTATTCATTTGCATCATCACAAGGCTGAGAAAGTTGCCCAGGATTTTCCTGTGTGGTTTCCCACTGTCAGTGATGCAAGATGGTGGGCCAGTCAAGGAAAAGTGTCTAGCCATAATGTCACTTGTACAGTTTTGTGTATATGTAAAAGAACCCTTGACAGTCAGAATTCGCAAATAAGAGCAGGCAGTAGCACCGCAGTACGGTTAACACTGCATGGTGTTAGATTAGTTAGAACCCACTTCATTAGACATTACTGATCATATAGGATTATAATTGGATCCTTTTTACATTCTCACATTGTTGTCCTGTCTTGTAAATTTTAGAATAATTATAAGGAAGAATGGTTGTAGCAAAGATTATTTCCGGGTTTAACCTGGTAAAGTTTGCCTTGATTAGTATTACTCATTATTTCTTTTTATGTAATCTATGTTTAGTCTTGATGATTCAGATCTCTAATTTCTACCTGTGTGAAGTTAATAGGTTTGTTTAGTGAGATTAGTATGACTGTTTTCACTTTAAAATTTTGCCAGTTGTTCAATTTTTGACATATTGAGTTTACCTCAGATTAGATAGATATTTTATTCAAAGAATGTGCCAGTTTTTAGCAAGTTAAAACTTTAAATTTAACTATATTTATTGTGTTTGAAGATTAAATTCTTTGAAATTCTAATTATGTGGCATATAAATTGACTGGCAGGTAAGTTCCCTAGATAGTCAATTTGACTGCCAGTCAGTCAAAACTGGTAAATATGACTGAAACCAAAGCGGAGTATAGCAGTCTTTTGATCTCAACTACCTTACAAGAAACAGGTTTTTGAAAAAAAAATGTTGTAACCAATAAATCAGGATACAATATAGAGTGGTATTTGATTGATCTAATGCTAGATTCCCACTATCACAATTCGCTACGATTGAAATCGTGGTTTTAATCATGAAGTAATCGTGGTGATTCTATCAGGTCTTATCATATATTGAGGTCAGTCATAGCAATTGTGTTGATTGTAATGAAACTTATACGAACGTATCTGCACATACCAGATCATGTACTCAAAAGGGAAAATCCTATCATAACGAATCGCACAACAGTGGGAACCTGGCATAAGTTAGACATTATATATGGATATAACTACTTCTCTATTATTTAATAACAACGTTTCGTAACACATACAGGTCACGTTTTCAAGTTAATTTGTACAATTGTTTGGTTTTTTTTATACATATGTTTATTACAATTGTTTCAATATTTTTTAAATACTTGTATATATTTGTTAGATTGGTGTTAGACAGATCAAAATGTCAACAGTTTGTCAATACCAAGTTTGGTGATATCCATTGTAGTTTGTACGATAATAAATCTATATATGTAAATAATTTGATCATTTGTTTATTAATAAAGTACATTTGTTTTGTTTAGTGAACAGTTTAAATAGTTTAATGTTGACTGTAATTATAAGACAGATTTGTTTTAAATATTCATTAAAGCTTCACTATTCTAGGAATTAAATAATATTCTTTAAATTCTAACTCAAAGGAACTTAAAAGTGTCTTCTACTTCTCATGTAGGATAGTGCAGAGTTTATTTCCTCTATATTCATAGGGTAATTTATCTGGCTTGCTTATGTGCAGTTCACAGTTTAACAGTACATAAGGAGTACATATTCACTAGAGATCCGTTTCTACTTAATTAAAATTTCTCTTTGTTGTTAATTAGAAACTTGAGGCTCTTTAATAATACTTATAGTGATGATATCTAGGAAAGAGAAAAACACATAATAATTTAGTTAAAGCTGATGGTACAAATTATAATTATATAAAACTAAAAGTTCTGATGATTTTCATACATTTATTCTTTTCGTGGGACTTAAAGATGCATTATATAAGAATTAGATAAAGAGCTAGCCATTCTTGCTATAATAGTTCAAAAATAGATAATGCAAACTGAATATATTGAACATTTCGTTGAAATTACTCTATTGTGAGGAAGATATTAGCCTTTGAAGGTTTGACAAGATGTGTGCATTAATTAAACCACCGTACTGGTTGTTCGAAGCTAAGCCTCCTTCTAAATTTTTAAATTAAATCAAAATAATAGCTGAACTCTGCTGAACCGTTCTAATTAACTTAATATCGGAGATATCCAATGGCATCCAGAGTTGATTATGGTCTTGTCATGTTAATAAATTTCTAATATAACATTTCAGGCCTAAATAAAGACCTGCAATAGGCAGATTTAGCTCTTGCATAATGTATGTTTAATATAGCAGGCAAATTTTCCATACAATGCTTTTGGTTAGGCCACATGAAAAAAATATTCTGGTTCCCAGATGTTCCTGTATCACTTAAAAAGGGTCACGTAACCTGTTTTGATTTTAAAAAATAAAAAATAAAGTCTCATAAATTACTGCACAAATATTTTACCCCAGTTATAGTATGACTGAAACCAGGCATGTGCGGTAGGCTCATTTATCAAATATACAACCCTGATAAATGTTACTGTCAGTCATACATGATACTGGTTAATCTTAAATTCCTATAAACAACAGGATGAGATAAATGTCATGTAGCCAAGTAATGATCCTACGATAAAATAAAAACACAAAAAAACAACCTTTCCTTCTGCATCAGATTTTTGTTAAGGATTGTCTAAGAACCAGTTTATTTTTTTTTGCATGGCCTTAGTTATACAAATTTTTTGCTTAAGTAGAATGTAATAGAAGTTCAAGGATTGTAATAATAACAGTCCATACTTGATATTATTATTTATCAGATTGTAATTACAGTCCATACTATTATGATTTTGTTTTTATTGATTATAATTATTTAATGTTATATAACTACCCGATAATGTTTTCACAAAATAAAAAGATTACAAATTACTATGTCTTCTTTTTTTGTCCCCCGCCTTTCGAAGAAATCAGGGGACTATTAAAATGGGTCTGTCAGGGTAAGCAGAGCAATAAGCAACTTGATTGGCCGAGACTTTGGTATACAATAACTCTCCTTCTAATTTTATTCGGTCAATGCCTTGATGCAAATTTTCTGCTTAGGGTAAGCCCAGATAAGAAATTTGATTGGTTGATGCTTTGGGACACGATAACTTTAATTCTAATTAAGTGAGAGTGAGGGCACCTGGTGTATAGTTTTATCACATCAATACCTTGACTAAGTTCAAGAATGAACATTTTCTGCTGAGGGCAAGCAGAGCGATAAGCAATTTGAATGGTCGAGACATTTGAACACAATAAGTCTCCTTCTAATTGAGATAGAATGTTCAAACTTGGTGTGGGCCGTTCATTTGGTGAATGCCTTGGAGTTTGATGATGAACATTGTCTGCTTACGGTAAGGATGAATCTGATTGGTTGATCCTTTGGGGATGAAACTCCAAGTATAGATTCATTATATTATTACGTTGACTAAGTTCGATGATGAGAATTTTCTGCTTAGGCTAAGGAGCGATAAGCAATTTGATTGGTCAAGACTTTGGGACACAACAACTCTGCTTCTAATTGAGGTAGAATGTTTAAACTTGATATAGATGTTCATTAGGTGAATGTCTTGACTGAGTTCAATGATTATAACATTTCGAGCTAAAGCTATATTAGCTAAGCAGAGCTAAGCAATTTCATTGGTCGATGCTTTGGGACAACATAACTTTGATTCTATCTGATAGAGAGTGATGAAACTTAGTGTATAGTTGGTAATCAGTTTGATTGCCCGATACTTTTGAAAAAAATAAATGTGTGATTAATTAATATGTCATCTATTTATTTTGGGATTTCGGCGGGGGACATCAGCCTCACTTGGCTTATTTTTTTATTAAATCAAAGTTTAACATATAACGGGTCTCTATTGCATGTATATATGTCACAATGACATATTTCTGACGAGATCCCCAGTGAGCGAAAAAGTAGGCAAAATGTGAATTGTACAAAGTTTGTGGGATGCAGACCCTCTAAAGCCCCCAATTTTTGTCCGATTTAGATGAAAATTCCTACTGAAAAATATTAATGGGACCACATTTAAAAAGGTTGTATATAGAGGACTAAGGGCCTATTAAGGAACAGCGTCTAGTAGTTCGGTTGGGGCGATAAATCGAGGTCCAGTCGGTATGTTAGGGAATTCGATGAAAAGTAGGCGGAGACGCAGAGCTCTGTCCAGGCAAAATTTCCTTCACAACAGTACATAATATCCCCTGTACGTCTTCCTCGGTTGATGCAAAAAAGTAGGATGTACTTAAAGGATTGGTGCCAGTCATTATCACATATGTGATAGAGCTGGTTAAACACATTCCAAATATAATTTTATGTCAGAGATCATTGCTACGATAGCAGAGTAATACAGTTTTTCTGAATCGGAAGTGACGAACGCCAAAGGAAAACACGAGTCACCTCTCTATAAAACTGACTGATGTGACGAATGATAACGGATATACGGGCGAATTTCTGCTCACTAATAATTCCTTTGAAGACCAAAAATTGTTGTGTGAGACTGTGAGAGGATATCTGACAATTCATAAAAAGAATTGACTGTCACTAGATAAGTGAACACAAAAGAAAAACAGAAAAAGTCCGTGCATTACCATGTTTTTATAAGGAAAAGAATGAATATAAACAAGGGAATGTACGGACTATTTCTATTTTTCTCGTGTTCTCTTATCTAATGACATTTAATTACTTTATTGAATTGTCAGGTATCCTCTTACAGTCCCATATAACAACTTTTGGTCTCCAAAGGAATTATTAGTGAGCAGAAATTCGCCCGTATATCCGTTATCATTCGTCACATCAGTCAGTTATATAGAGAGGCGACTCGTGTTTTCCTTTGGCGTTCGTCACTTCCGATTCAGAAAAACTGTATTACTCAACTATCGTAGCAATGATCTCTGAGATAAAATTATATTTGGAATGTGTTTAACCAGCTCTATCACATATGTGATAATGACTGGCACCAATATTGTCCTTTAAGTTCAATTTCATTTCTTGATACTATCGTACTCTACACTGTCATGTAGAGCAAGTAGTACAGCCAATCAAATTTGAGAACGTAAACAACACCTAAAAATAGAAACAAAATTTACGATCACGGAACTCCTTTTTTTTTTGTGTTGGTTAGACTAATTTTGATGCCGATTTTAATGGGCATGGTAGTAGGACCTGATTTAAATCACTATATAATCAATAATCATGGATCAAAGAAGTGATGAATGGATATCCACGAAAGTTTTGTTTTGTTTTGTATTATTTTGTGCGTCGGTGTGTGGCGAAGCCTCTCCACGAGTGGAAAACAATGGCATAGACTTCGATATCGATAACCTGTTATCGTCTCTTGATACTGCTGTAGATTCTATATTTGATCTCCTAGGAGATGCCGATGGATGTGTTCACAAATGTCCCAACGGTAGGTTCAATATTTACTCCTGACATAAATAGTTCTGAATACGAATTCCAAACTGCACCGACAATGTTATTGTAAACGTGAATTGATATAAGGGAAGCAACTCTATTTAATAAATGGATGCAGACCACTAATGCCCCCTCCCCCACACTCTTGGCTGACTGAAACTTTACCCAAATTTTCGTTGTGCTAAACGCCTTCTATTTTGACTGTTTTAGTTCATTTAGTTCATGTACTAGGCGAACGTAGTTCAGTGCTATTCTAGGAGTGCACTCTTTCTAGTCCCGACCAGTGCAAGCCCAGGTCCGCTTTTCTGATAGGTACGCTTTCTATCTATTTCTGACGTATAACGCCATCCCTGTCCCAAAAATTGCTGACTGAATTTAAAATTGTGTTTAAGGCCAAGGGTTAAATTGTAGTTAAGATGTATTATATGAAATTGTTGGTCTTATGCTAAGTTAGCAGTATACCCGACTTCGTCCGGGGCCCAAATTCGACAGGGGCCCAAAGTCTTCCGGGGAACAAATTCACCCGGGGCCCAAATTCGAGGGCCTAAAACATTCACGGGGGCACGCTGGTTAATTTGATACCAAATATGTGTGGGTGGAGTGCCGCGACAAAGCGTGGTTCGCCTGGGGCGCAGGCCCAATTGGCCCAGGTGGTCTAAAACATTCACGGGTTTATGTTGATTAATTTAATACCACATATTTGGGGGTGGGAGTGCCGCGACGAAGCGTGATTGGCGAACATACAAACATACACACTTTGATTTTATTTATATAGATTATTCATAAAACCTAATTACTTCTTGTTATCGGATTTTTATTTTATTAAGGTGAACAACCTGTACCCAATCCTCATCATAAACCTTCAAGTAATGGATGTGGTATATCAAATGTGCTGGTAAGTTTTAATACTGTTATTGTTTTGATAAATCCCTAATCTGAATGGCGAAGTTTTGTACAATAATTATCAGATGCCGGTGCGTTTGAACCAAAGTTAATATACTGTATATACTTCTCATACTTCTCGTGATTACTGTAGATTTCAAAATGGTGGAAAGTACAACTTCGAAGAAATGTAGAACGTTTCTGCCTCGTAAAAGAATGGAATTGAACCATTTTTGGCCTGATATTCCTAATAGAAATACGACTTTTACAATATTGTAGTTTACATGGGGATCTTCTGTCGATCAAATCACTATCAGAGTCTTTAAAGAGTCACAACGGGACTAACGTATGGTTCAATTGTATTTCAATAAGTCGCTTGCACGTAGTAGTCTTTAGCAGAGGGAGAAAACGCACGAGGTTGGACAAGGAACCCTAATCTTTGTCGCGTACAAGCCGAAAATCGAAACGACGCTGCTTGACTCAATGACAGACCTTATGATCTAACGCGAACGCGTCAACCATTCGCCACCCGCCCCCACACCCCGAGACTTTAAAGTGTAGACCTGTCTTTAATTTATTTAATCTAAAGGGAACCGTTGAATACCAATTAAATGTATTGGCCCATTGACTGATTTAACGTTTTTAATATTTTTCAGATTGATACGACAGTTATGCCTGGTGTTACCAAGTGCTGTGATAAACATGATTTCTGCTATGATACTTGTAACTTTAGTAAAGAAAAATGTGATGATAAATTCCAGGAATGTTTACTAAAAATATGTCATAAATTAAAAAATGTGTTCTCTGAAGATGCTCTGCAAGGTGAGGCCTGTCTATTAAGTGGTATTTATTTATATGCCAATATTCTAAACTGTTCGTACCGTGCCGTTCATATCTTGTTGGCACAGAAGCAACAAGTCAACAAGTTATTCCGCTTTGTTACAAATTTGTGGTAGAACTTTTATAGACTGCAATTATCAATTATCAAACTTATGTCGGTTGGCCACCCCATCCTAAGGAAGAACCCTGTCGAATTTCATAAATTTTCGATAATCACTTCTAGAGTTATTCCTCGTTAAGAAATTTTGATAGCACGTTAGAGGCTTCATTTATATATGGGGCGCCGTTTGTAAAATAATTATTTAATTTTTTTTATAGCAAAAAACATTAGATTTAACTCCGAATATATATATTTAGATAAATATTAGAACAAAAATGGCATATATGTAAATATCAAAAAATATTTTAGCTAAAAGTCGAGTTTTTGGTCTATGAAAAACTTTAAATGTTATATCTTGATTTCACATCGCTTAGTTAAATATATAGCTAAATGTGCTGTTTTTCGTAGGTATAAATGCTAAATACTAAATCACTGAAAAATCTAAAGTTAAACATTTAGCTAAATATATAAACATTTAGCTAAATATATAAACATTTAGCTAAAATATATATATATATATATATAAACATTTAGCTAAATATATAAACATTTAGCTAAATATATAAACATTTAACTAAATATATAAACATTTAACTAAATATATATATTTAGTTAAATATATAAACATTTAGCTAAATATATATATTTAGTTAAATATATAAACATTTTACTAAATATATAAATATTTAACTAAATAGATATATATAGTTAAATATATAAACAGTTAACTAAATATATAAATATCATGCTAAATATATATGTTTAGCTAAATGTATAAATATTTAACTAAATATATATTTGTGGTCCCGCCAATATTTCTATTATCGTAAGCGACACATAAAACTGCGCATAAAATGATGACGTGTACCCGACGTGAGCCTTGGCACAATAGGCCTACTAGCAATTAGAAATGGAAGCTGACCACGAACTTGTAGCCCGAATCACGGGTGTAAGAACTAAGCTGAGCGCTCAGGTACCAGATAGTACTGTGTTGTGCAGTCAATGGAAAGTTGTACACCACGTCATCGTTTAGTGTGAAGTCGCTTACAACAATAATTATTTTACAAACGGCGTGGTACGGTTGCGCTTTGTAAATTTAACTATATGTTTAGCTAAATATATAATTATTTAGTTAAATATATAATTATTTCGTTAAATATATAAATATTTAGCTAAATATATAAATATTTAGCTAAATATATAAATATTTAGCTAAATATATATTATTTAGCTAAATATATATTATTTAGCTAAATATATAAATGTTTAACTAAATATATAAATGTTTAACTAAATATTTTAACATTAAACTAAATATATATTTAGCTAAATGTTTAAACATTTAACTAAATATTTAGCTAAATATTTATATATCATCAAATCTCTTGTTTTGGTCTTAATATTCAATGCTAAATGTTAAATATGAAAATAGAGACAAATCAAGAAATATTTATATATATTATGTTAAATATTGAGTTTTTGTTGTATTTTTAGTTTAAATATTAGAAGTGAAAAATTTGCACAAAAGTCGAGATTTAACTATATATATAAATTTAAATTAAATTCTAGTGTTTTTTGCTATATAAAAAGCTAAATAATTAATTTACAAACGGCGCCCCATATTTATAATCCCATATTTCTAATTAGCAGCTTGTGGGTATATGTTTCGTAGCCTAGCAACCTAAGTTTATTTTCCGGGGTATACCTTTATGACACTTTGTACACACCGTAACCTGTAGATGTGCACTTTACCTATTATCCAAGGAGACTCAATGTCCCCAGGAGGTGGCGGGTTCAATCCCAGTTTTGACCAAGGTAGTGCATCGAAATTTTCCAGTCTAGTTTCCCCTTGTCTAACCGTTCGGTTCATGTTCACGTAAAAGAAATAAAGGAAGAGTAGGCAAACTTTTCCTTATAGCACACTGTGTGGCGTATGTCCGGCTTCATTATGCCGGTGCATAAAAGAAGGGCCTTAAACCCAATAGTGCCCAAGGAAAATATGTGTTATAGTCATGCTTATTCTACACCAAGATACAAGCTTACCGTCACGAAGCAATACCAGATAGATCTAATAATGCAACTTTTGACATTTTTCGGCGCAGTTTCACCATGTCGGTGGTGCAGGACGGAGGCCCTGGCAAGGGCAGTGTTCTAGTTGATCAGACTTGACGAAAAACCGAGGCCCTGTGTACACATTGGCGTGCACGTAAAGAACCCTTGACATTTGGAATTCGAGATAAGATTAGGCCGTAGCGCCACTGTCCGGTCAAAATTCCCCCCATATGACACTGTATAGCGTATGCCCGTCTTCATTAGCCCAGTCGGTGCAGAACAGTAGATACGTTAAACCCTCCCTCTATTTCGCTTCGTGTCCAAAATGACGAAATCTTAAGCTAAAGGGAGACGAATCTTTTAATATTAGATGAAATTCACATCATATTTAAAGATATTTTATGACTGCTTTCTTTTTCTTTTTTTAAACGAACGACATCCCCCTCGGGAACATGCGGTTGTCTTTCTTTTTGACTTGAGTTTATAAATAATCACGTAGCTAAGGTAGGACGAGGCGGCAGTACCTCTTTCCGGGGGGATGCCACTTTAGTTCTAATTCATTTTTTTCAAAAAAATTGCTTTCTACCCGTACTGTAGAAGGCTACAAGATGTCTGACAGAATTTTATTTTTCCACGAAACACTGGTTATTGTCGAAAGGTATGTTTGTTGTGTATATGCTGTGGTCTTTGTGGTAAGGTGGGCGGATTCAGTTAGAGTGGGGCTACAAACTGAATGACAACCCGAGTGGCACACACTCCAGCTACGCCCAGGTGTGTCAAATATGATCTCAGATCATGCATGCGATTATTGATCACTTATGTTGGCTGACTGGTATCGGATCATTAAAAACGCAGGTGAACGAGAAACTTTCACTTTCGTCTTCGTTTCGTTAGTCAGTACAAATCTCGATGTTTTCCAATATTTTTGCCAGTTGTGGACCTTTTGCCGACCAATGACTGCGTTATTCGTCACTAATATGTCCGGGAGAAGCTTATTATCCGTTCGGTCTGGCAACTTTAACCATCGAAAATGGCTTGTCACGTACTGTTATTTTTGATGAGGCTATTGGGGAGTTCGATTCCAATTGTGCACGAAAAGTTCCGCTTGAAACCAGTTCAACATGATACCAGTTCAACAAGATTTTGGGTTTTGAAAAAAAAATAAACGAATAGTTTATATGATGAAACAATGTCTTTTTATGCGCCCACATTTAAATGTGGTCGTATATTGTCGTCGCCCCGGTCCGTGCGCCCGTTCGTCGGTCTGTCCGTCCACAATTTGTTTGTGGTCACTCTACAGGTCACAATTTTTATCTGATTTTGACGAAACTTAAAATATAGGTCTATCTCCCAAAGATCTCGGTTCCTTTCGATATTGGCATGTATCGGACCATAACGTCATGGATTATGGCTCTGGTTGTACGAACAATCACGTTTTTAGCTTGTGGACACTCTAGAGGTCACAATTTTCACCCGATTTTGATGAAACTTGAAATTCATGTTTATAACCCAAAGATCTCGCTACCTTTCAATATTCACGTATATCGGATCGAAACTTTCTGAATTATTTTTTTCGATTTTAAAAACCGTTTAAATGCATCACCATTCCACCATAATGAGGGTTGAATTCGAATTTCGGAAAAATAGAAATAAAACTGCCCGACAAAATGGCCGCTCTTTGTACGCAAATTGTGTAGAAGTGTGTAATGCGAAGGTTGTGGACCCTCTAGAGGTCACAATTTTTATCCGATTTTGATGAAACTTATATGCCAAAGATCTCATTCACTTTTGATATTTGCACATTTCAGGCCATAACTTTCTGGATTATTGCCCCTGATTGAACAAAAAATCGTGTTTGTTTTTAGCTTGTTCTCTATACATCTCTTGCAAAATGTGGGCGGATTCCGCCTGGCAGCCGCTGGTCTTTTTGTGATATGACGCCTGCATTATTTCAGTGATTTATTTAGTTTCGCCCTGAAAGAAACACCGAGTTCTCAGAAAACCGGGCCATGATACGCATACTATTATAGCCACACCATGTTAATATAAATATTTGTTTTATAGTATGAACTATAGTTCACCATATGCATGCTTATAGCAGTTCATTAACCCAGTTTAATTTCGGTCAAGACAACTTCACCTACCTATTAATGACGTGAGAGATCTGTGTTCGTTAAGTCATTTATCACAGACTTAGATTAGCGGATGTCCGTTTTGAAAACAATTGGCAAATATTTCTTATTATATCATTTGCTTTGATTTAATGTCTACATTACATTTATTGTATTTTTACTCTGTATGCGCGTATATATTGCCGTATTGTCGAATACTGCCTTACGTTGGTCCATTCACCATTTACTGATATTGAAATTCTGCACACCCAAGAGCATTCTGCACACAGAGATCCATCTACATCTACTTCATTCTTCGAGAAAACATCTGTCTTAAATGGTCACCATATCCAAAAATTAGTATACTGTTTTGTAATGCGTTTCTATACTCCGTTTCGCATGTGCCATACACACACACACACACAGACTAAATAAACTTTTTCAGTTTTATTAAATGGAGCAGAATAAATACCCCCCAAAAAATTCGAAGTATACTTAGTGTTTTCGACTAAAATCATCGATTTAGGACTTAAAATGTCGGAAAACCAGCTTAATGTCTGTTCTCAAGCGGAGGTAACCGTAGACAGACAGCCTAAGTTTAGTATGACTCACAAGAGACAACATTTTTGGGGCCATTAGCGCTACTCATCTTGTTCTTCTACCTGGGGGCTCCACTAATTCAAGTACGATCGACATTAAACTTGGCATGCTTGTTCCTT